GAGTTTCAAAATGTCTTTGCCTTCTGCAAAGTACATTCGTTCACAGCTGGCTTTTATTTTCTTGAAGGAGGGGCCATTACCTTGCAGCCTTACTCCTGAGTCACCTGTGCTGTTGTAGTTGCTCTTTCCTCCGAGCATTCCTGTGTGCATGCGCACTTGGCACAGGCTCCTCAGGAACCTCCTCATCGCTGCTGCCAGCCCCCACAATCTCTGAAGGCAGCAGTTCACTCCCTAATGGTCCTGGCCCCTCATCTGAGTCCTCGCTCTCCTCAGCCATCCGTACCTGCTGCCGGCTAACCACAACACTGACATTTTGTGTGTGTGTGTGTGTGTGTGTGTGTTGTGTAAATTTTACATATTTAAATTACATCATGCCTGTCTACTTCCCTTCCTCCTAATTACGGTATAAACTGTTACTGGAAAAATGAAATTGAATGGGTTACTCTGTGTATTTCTTTTTCTTTATTTTCCAATCACGATGGTAATATATAGACAGGGCTTCAGTATGACTTGCATGGGCCCTTGGCGCTTTTGCTCTAGTAGAACCTCCCTCCATAAAAATAACAGTATTCATATTATATGGAGCATGATAGCTCAGCACTTGTCAGCTGGAAAACTGACAGCTCAGGTTCGACACCCAAATGCTGCAAGATGGGATGAGCTCCAGTTACATATCCCAGCTCCTGCCCACCCAGAGTTCAAAAGTATGCAAATGTGAGTTGAAAAATAGGTACCACTTTGTGGGAATACAACAGTGTTCCGTGCACCTCAGTGTATGGCTTGCATGTCCACAAAAGCATTTTTGGACAATGCTGGCTCCCTCAGCTTAGAAACAGAGATGTCCTGCCCCCTAGAGGCAGATACAACTGGAAGGGGAAACATTAATGTTTTCTTCATTTTTGTCCAGAGAACTAGGGAATACTAAATCACAGAAGTTTTGTTTTATAATAATAAAGTCAGTTTTGCTGATTAATTATGAGATTTTGTCATGTCCCTGGTGGAGACTGACTCTGAGGGAGAGGAGGAACAGCCAACAGGGAATGGAAATGTGGTTCCGGAGGTTGTGGAGGAGGCTGGGGAAGGGCAGAGGCCGGCTGAGCAGTCAGAGGAGAACCCAGGCCCATCCTCTCTCCATCCTAGGGCACGTAGGGAGGAGAGGATAAGGGGGAGGAGAGGGTCTTAATCCTCTTCATGGGCTGCAGCTGTGACAATTGAATAAGAGAACGGACATGAGTACAGGTGAGCGCTGGAAACAAAGCATAGAAATATTTCTAGTTTATGGTTCCTCTCTGAGTTTGGCGTCCTTCCCAGTGTGTGTTATTTGTGGACATCCTCCAGCCCTTATCTTGCCCGGTTTGTGTTGTTTTTTTCCTTCTTTGTGTAACTGTTTGTGTGGGAGTTTTTTTGTCTTCCGTCAAGAATATTTGGAGCTTGGAAGCAAAGTGAAGGAATAAAAGAGGCTTCATCTGTTTTCTGTGACTGTGTGTGTTTTGTATCTCACCCTGGATCATCACAGATTTACTGGGTTATCACCATAGTCCCTAAATTTTAGAGTACATACTAAATTTTACTATTCACATTAAATTAATTAATTGCACTAACTGTAGGTTATGAATAGATTTGATGTTCAAAGCCTGTATGTTTCTTGTCTCTTTTTTATGGAAGAGCATGAAAAGACGTACATATTTATTCAAAGGCATGGCAATAATTTTTACTTTTATTATTTCTGATTTTAAAAAATCAAGCATGTTTATACCTAATGAACAGTTGGTCCTGTCTAAAGGGCACCTCCAGATAGCCAGTGACCTTTCGACTAGTCCTTCAAGCAGCACAGAAAAAATGTTATTATAATCTGTTATATGCCAATAGCCATTTTTCTTCTGCTTCAGTAATATTTCACATTACAATTCAAGAAATGAGGTCACCTTTGTGGTAGTTCTCTTGTCCCCATAAACTTCAATCATTTCCTACTCTTCCCGTGAGAGGATAATAATGTTGAAGTGTCATCCAGTTGGTGTTGACACTTAGCAACTACATGATAGACTTTCTCCAGGAGGAACCTGGCCAAAGTTTGTCCTTCAGGTTTTCTAATGATGCATCTATTTTTACTGTAACCAACTCCATCCATCTTGCTGTTAGATATCATTTTTTCCTTCCATTTTTCCCAGTATTAGAGATTTCCCAACAAAGTTAGGTTTTTACGTAATGGGTCCAAAATTGAACCTGATCTTCTGAGCCTGGGATGAGAATCTGTTTTGATTTATTTGATGATCTCTGGTAAGAGTCTTCTCCAACTCTAAATTTCAAAGGCATCACTACCAGAGGTGGTATTCAGCAGGTTCTGACCAGTTCTAGAGAACTGGTGGTGGAAATTTTGAGTAGTTCGGAGAACTGGCAAATGCCACCTCTGCTTGCCACAGATAAGGATGCTTCCCCTCTGGTATGAGAAAAGTATTTTTCATGCAGGTCCTTCAGACATTTGGGGACCCCTCGTGTTCTTGTCTTCTGTGTCTTGTTCTATCTTGTCGACTTCAAAGTATTCTACTCTGGACACATTCTGCGAGGACCCAACTCTCTGCAGAAGGCTCTAATGTCGGGAAAGATGGGAAGGAAGAGAAGAAGAGGTCAACCAGCAGCAGTTGGATGTGATGGATGCCCAGTTGGAAGACCAGGTTGGAGGCAGATCATCATGGAGAAAATCAATTGAAAGGGTCTCTGGAAATTGAAAATAACTTGATAGCACATAATCAAGCAGTCAACTTGCCTGCAGAAGATTTATGGAAGATTCAAACGCTTACATGCTACTTTGTGGTGTTGATTACCTAACATCCTATGGTGGAAGAGAGAATTTTTTTTCCAATGTGTGCGCATGCATCATAAAAACATCCATTGTCTGGGAAATATCAAGGTTGCAGTTAAAAGCATTTAGTTGCATAATGGGTTCTGAGAAATCTAAGAGGAAGCCCTTTCTAGAATCCACAGTATCCAGGATTACAACTTCTCCCTTGACAACAGTTACAAAAAGACACAGAGGGGTTTTTTTGTTGCTCTTGCCATTGCTTTTAAGAAATAGAAAAAGGCGAGAGGGAGACTTTGCAGGCAGGATAATGTGTAGTTTGGAGTGATGGCTGATTTCTTCTCAGAGTAAATCAGATTTTGAATACTTGGAACAATCTAAAGTTTTGTTTTCTTGCAACCAGTTTTGATTTGGAAGCACATTCTCCAACATGTGGCTTTTCTTACAGAATAAAACTTGCCCCGTGCAATCTCACTGTGAGATTAATCTCCACTCAGAATTTGGAACCTGGAGAATTAGAATAGGTGAGGGACTGTGATTTTTCAGTTCCTTACCAGGAACAGAATTTCAGCATTTATTTCAGTTCCTTAGTCATGTGGGAGATTCGGGACAAAACCAGTGCAGATACTTTTGCCTAGTATTGGTTCTTTCCCTGGGCTTATTGCTTTATGAAACTTGATCAGTGTTTTTATGAGAGAGAAATGAATTAGTTCTGCTTCGTGATCGCACCAAACATACATTTGGGTTCCTATTCAGGAGAATGACTAATGGCCCAGGAATAGCACAATATCACCTTGGGAACAATTGATGAGAGCTTTCTCACTTACAAACATTGCCTGCCTCATTTAAATGGCTTTGTGAGGAAAGCCATAAGGGTAGTTTTGAAAAACCCAGGTATTGACGCACAAGTAATCAGAAACAATTTGTTTGGTGAGATCACTAATCTGACGATGTTTTTTCAAGTACTTGTTGTAATACGTAGATATCTAGTTTGCAATGTGTATAACTTCAGTTCAGTATTTATTCCTCTCTAATACTGCATTATGTATATTCATCAAAGCTTTGGTCTTCATAATTTATTGTAGGGTATTCCTTTTATTAAGAGAGCCAGTTTGGTATACAAGTAATCTTCGAATTACCATAGTTCATTTAATGACCATTCAAAGTTACAACGGTACTGAAAAAGTGATTTATAACCATTTTTCACACTTACGACCTTTGTCGACCCATGATCATGTGATTCAAAATTAAGATGCTTGGCCATTGGTTCATACTTGTGACTGTTGCTTTTTTCCCAAGGTCACGTAATCCCCTTTTGCAACCTTTGGACAAGCAAAGTCAGTGGGGAAGGTTAACCTAACAACTGTCTTACAAACTTATCAACTGCAGTGATTCACTTAACAATTGTGGCCAAAAAAAGTTGGTAGAATGAGGCAAAACTCACTTAACAAATGTGCCACTAAACAACAGAAATTTTGGAATCAACTGTGCTCGTAAACCAAGGACCACCTCTAGTGGTTAAGGCACCAGGCTAGAAACTGGGAAACCATGAGTTCTAATCCCATCTTGGGCACAAAGTTAGCTGGGTGATCTTGGGCCAGTCTGTCAACCCCAAAATATTTCTCTGGTCTTTTAGAGTTGCCAGCAGAAAGGGAGTGGGGGAAATAGTGCATTCCTTAAATGCTTTCATAGATAATTGCTAGGCGGCCGAAGCTTCTGGCGCGCAAGATTATTACTGGAGAGCATGATTGAGGACTCTCGGCTATGGAAATATCCCATTGGAGAATATACATCCAGGGGGTGGGGGAAAACCAGGATCAAGGGTGAAATGAATGATGTATCTCAGAGTCAGCTGCACGCAGGTACCGGCGGCATGTTCACTCCTAATTTTTTTTTTAAAAAAACTCTGAGAGATGTGGCTAGAGACTCATGATTTGAATGAGGGGTGGATGCCGGAGCCCTGACATAGTCATTCTCCCTCAGTCCTAGGAAGAAGGCAATGGCCAACCACTTCCAAAGAAAACCTTGCCACGAAAACCTCAGGGGCTTGTCTAAACAGCACCTAGGAGTCCTCACTGACTGAAAGGCACAAAATAATGATGATGATGATGATGATGATGATGATGATGATGATGATGATGATGCTTATATATATATTTAAAAAAAACCTTCTTCACTCTAGGCTTGCAAAGGAACCGATTGATCCCAAAGCGAGAGCCATACACTCACAGCCACAATGGCAGAAGATGCTGATATGCGCAATGAGCTAGAAGAAATGCAGCAGCGGGCTGATCAGATGACTGATGAGGTAAGGAAAAGAAGGACAGAAAAATAAGTGCAATACAAGGAACTGAGCCCCTCTGGAAGACAGGAAGTTGGGGATACTGTTTTGTTTACTTTCCTTTCCTGTGTTGCCTTTGAACTGGACTAGGGGTTAGAACCTGAAACTTCCCAAAGGTGCTTTTACAAGAGGCAACTGGACTTTCTGGTTTTCCTTTGAAGACATTTTTGCTTCTCGTCCAAGAAGCCGAAGAAGGCTTCTTGGATGAGAAGAGAAATGTCTTCAAAGAAAAAACAGAAAGTCCAGTTGCCTCTTGTAAAAGCACCTTTGGGACAACCGTGACTTGGATGACTGAGAATCTCCATAGACAACTTGAAACGTCCTTATTAAAGCTAATCTCTTCCCAAAAGGCAATGAAGGGGATTTCCCCAGTTGCACCTGATGAAATAATGAACATGCTTGGATCACCTGGTTTTTCTGCCAGGTCGCCCTCCTCCTGCTGCCATTCTTACTTTAGGCAGCCTTAGATCATCCTTGGCTTTTTAGCTCTAAAGTAGCATTTCCCCCGTCAAGCGGGCAAAAATGTGCAGCGGTTTTATTCTTGTGCAGTCTGACAGCTTCACCAACTAGCTTAGGTTGGTGTTTCAGTCAGGGGGTGGCTAAGGGGGTGGGATCAGCTTACTAACTATTGGCCGTTTTAGGCATTTTTTCTTGCCCCTGCAGTCCTTGGACAGTGTCCTATGGGGCAGTGGGGAAAGAGATCCAACCTCTTCCCCATTTCCTATTTCTCCAAGATGGCCTCTCCTTTTGACAGAAGCATAAGCCCAACCAACAAATAACAGGCCTCTCCTACTTATCGTCAATTGCCTGGGTTAATTTAAACATGATTTTAATTCTTTTTTTTCCAAAAAGTGCTAACCTTGTTTGAAAGTAGCCCAAGAAACAACTGATAGGGCTTTGAGGGTTGAAGGGTGGAATGTGAAATAATATCTTCTCCTGACTACCCATAATGGGTAGTTAAGGGCCTTCAGTTTCTAATTCTGTACTGATCCTTAGGCTGGGAGAGGAGGCAGGTGAAGCTGAAAGAGCCAACCACAGGCTTTTTTTAGGCAACCCTTTCAGATTTGGCATCTGATCAATACCTTGGGATCCAAAACCTGATGGGTAGAGCTGATTCCCTCTTTATTCCTGTGATCTCTTTAGGGATAGAGCTGGCACAGCAGTTAGAAGGCAGTATTGCAGGATAATTCTGCCGACTGCCAGCAGTTTGAATCTCACCTGGTTCAAGGTTGACTCAGCCTTCCATCCTTCCGAGGTTGGTAAAATGAGGACCCAGATTGTTGTGGCCAATAGGCTGACTCTGTAAGCTGCTTAGAGGGGGCTGGAAAGCACTGTGAAGTGATACAGAAGTGCTATTGCTGTTGTTATTGGGAGTTTGGGCAAAGCCTGGGACAGCTTTTGACAGATGGCTACGCCAACAAATCTAACATTTCTTTTGTACCTTCTTTTCTATTCATCGAACTCTATTCCAATTAAGGAATGTGGTGGGTGGAAGTTCTTCAGCTGGGGATATTTGGAGGAAAGAGAAGGAAGCAAACCTGGGGGAATCTTCCACTTGTTTTCCTTAATCTGTCTCAGTACAAATAATAAGGAGAACACTAGAATAGTTGGAGTGGTGGATAACACTTTGACCTACAAGGAAAAGCTCATTATAGCAAAATAATTCTAGCAGGAATACTGCCCAAGAGAAAGGCATATCTATATTCCATAACTGAATCACAAAGCTTTCACTGAAGATAAAAGAATGCCTTGGTATTATTCATACATAGCCTTTTGTGCAGTGACAAATAGAATAAAAGTTCTATTATGTTTATAGGAGGTATTACTAAAGATCAGACATTTATATGCAGAAAACTAATATTTATCAACTTCCTCTAGGTAACTAACAGGGTAAATTAAATTAAAGACTAAAGAGACCTTTGATATGATGCAGCAAAGTTCTCCTTATGCTTCTGCTAACTATTGATTTATCTGTAAACATCTACAATATTATTTCAAGTGAGAAAATTGAATAGCTTTCTACTAGAAATCAGATTGCCTTCCGCAATTGGTTTTCTGTATATTTTAAAAAGTGAATTGTGCGGAGAGCATCTGGAGAATGGAATGTCACCATTGCTATTATTGTATAACTTTATTTTACCATGTTAACTTTCTTATGAATGTTATGCTGTTCTTCTATTCAAATAAAATCAAATCAAGTTTATTTCAGTCAAAGACCAGAGACCAGATCAAATAAAAACACTCAAGGAATATCCAGTTCAAAATTCTAGAATAAAATAATAAATAACAGATAAAATCTAGATTAAAATAGTAATTTGGCATCCAATCTGTCTGTTACACATGGCCTAGCTATACTATCATATCAATTCTTAAACTGTGAGGCCCATAATCATTAAATACTAAAATGCAAAAGAGTAGTAATGCAAAAGGGTTTCCTACATTAGTTGTATAAAATAGCTATGGTGGATTAATCATGTGTTTCCGACAAACCCTCAGTGCTGCTAACCACTTGATAGTTCTTCTATTGTATGTTTTACTATCGATTGTCATATGTTTATTTTTAGCTACTGAGAATCTGTGGGTAGCAGCAGGTATAAACAAAATAAACTCCATCCACCATCAATAAGATGAGATATAGATTCTTAAATAAATAAACAAGGTTGTAATGCAGTGTTTTCCCCAAAATTGAAGAAATGTGATTTGAGTTTCTTTCTGCCTTTCATACTTAACCTTTGTCCAAGAATGATTTTTGACATTCAGCCATATGTGAAGCAATCATAGTTTATGCAATCTTAGATCAATTATTCTTAGATTACTCTATATTACGTGGTTGCTCTGAGAATAAATCCTAACCTCCTTGCAGGGGAGATATAATTTAAACATAATAAATTGGATCTTCTCTACAAACAGGAGATAAACATAATACTATTGATTTTATCTTCTTATTTTTATGTATTTAAGAAATGTATTGTCTGCCCTCAACCTTAGTGGTTCTAAGGGCTTCTAATAAAAACGATCGTAAAAGCATAATAAAAGGATTTAAAAAAGAAAAATTCCTAAAATTAAAACATGAGCACTAAATAAATTTCTAGATTCTTCCTAAATGATAACATGGATGGTCTTTGTTCCAAAACATAGATCCTATCCCCGAAAAAGCAGAATTTATTATCAATGGCAAATGTTTCTGACTCCAGATAGGTACAAATTATTAATGGTCTGTGCAGGATGGAGTATTTGACCAATATGCTTGGTCTTACCAACATATAATTGAAAACATTTTGAAAGTCTTAACATTCTTTTGTTTCCTTTCTACATTAGTCCCTCGAAAGCACCCGTCGTATGCTGCAGCTTGTCGAAGAGGTAAGACTGTTATGATTTACCTTGACTCTTCCTCCTGGCTAACCGGAGCTGAGGCTTCTCAGTACATGACAAAGCATATCCATGTTAGATTTACATAACGATTTTTTCAAACACAAAGAAAATGGTTATTTTAAAATGTTTTCTTTAGGTGAGTATATACACACACTGCTAACATAAAGCTAGGTGTTTTTATATGTATGTGCCTCCCTGTGAAACCATGACTGATTTTGATAAGGAGCATCCCATGTAAATCTTTTGGATATGACAATATATATATATATATTGGATATTGTCATATCCAAAAGATTGGAGATATATATATATATATATATATATATATATATATATATAT